GTTGAATAACTAAAGAATTGTGTACAAAAAAAAATACGAGATTTTTATGTGAGTTTACTTTTCATCAAACTAAGAACACAAACTTAGTGAAGACCTTTGTAATAACCGTTAATTCCCAATGAGCGAAAAATGTTGTGTATAGATCTATACAAGTTGACACACCCGTCTGCGGTTGGTAGCTACAACCTTGATCTGACGAGACAAAACGAACGATAATTTCTTATTTTGTCTCATTTCTTTTGACGTTGATGAAGCGTCGTTGGAACTATTTTATATTTAACAGAGACGGATACAAGTCATATAGCTCGGTTATTAAACTCTACATAACCCCGGAATCCATTACCAAAAATACAAATCAAAACTGTATGTATTTACAATATTGTTTAAGTGATAATATTTATTTACATAAAATAAATACTTAGTAGTTTCACTTCACGAAAAATATGTAAATCGTTACTTATGTATTATAAGTAAAATTTACATCGAATCTTATAACGATTCAAGAAAATATGATCATCTAATCTATATTTATTTAGAATTATGAAGTTGAATAACTCTTTGTTTACCGTTCTTATATTTATAAAAATTGCATTTTATAAAACTTTCGGCGTCAAAACCTATGAAACTCACCAACATTTTTGTTGACGTATTTTTAAAATGTGTGTATTCTCAGGTAACTAAGAAGCCGAAGGTAGGACATTGGTGTCATGAAAATTATATTTTCTTACTTTTAAATAATGTTGGCATATTTTTATATCGTTAATGCTTAAAGTTTGTAATGTTTCTGTTTCAAAATTTAAAAGGCTATAATATATACATTAATTATCGTACTTTAAATGTTCAGCATATGTGGTTGACTGTGATCCAATTTATAACATCGCGACCCCGGCATTTCCGCCGTTGGTCGGGGTGTGACATGCGAATACCAAGTGTTGTGCGTGTTCTGCGCCGCACAACCAGAAGTGTTTTTTTAGAAAAAACAAACAACCCCTTAGTCACGAAAGTCTAATAACAACGGGTCTACAACTTAGAGTTTTGGTTTCATTTTGATCAATATGATAGATATGTTATTGCATGTAAATCGGTTTGCATATGTAGCCCAAATATGAAGTTTCTTTACCCTTACATTTACATAGTCGTATAAGGTTACTATTAGGGGTGTTCAAAACCGGATATCCGAAAATTCGGATATCCGAAAATTTCGGATAGTGGATTTTGGTCTCCGAATCCGTATCCGGAATTTCGGATATCCGAAAGTTCGTATACGGATTCGGATAACAAAAACGGATATCCGATAAAAAAAAAAACTTTCTTTTTTGCTTTTATCTACTTCGTATTTTTAATCCATACAAGATATTCAATTTTTTCAACATGAAAATTATAGTCTCCATACGTGCATGATACATATATTAAATAATTTAGATATAAGATATTAAAACGCATGGGTTATATAACACTATAGCATTACGATGGTCAAGTTCTTCTTATTACTTTCATAATGACAATGGTTCAATTTAAACAAAAAGATGGGAACTAACACAAGATAAGTAATTTGTGAAATAAATATTTACTGATAAATTCTAAGTCTATATACTCATTGCATTATGTTAAGTATATATATGAAACTATAGAATCTTACGTGAAGTAATGAAGTACAATTTTATTTTAAATAATATTTTCTATTCATATATCTAACTATTAAGCGAGCATCTTTTGGCATGTAAATAATAGTTATTGTAGAGAAAACGTACATTAAAACTAACTATGTTCCTAATTGTTCCTGTTTAACGTTTAAAAACAATACTATAACTTTTTTCAAAATTAATAAAAATATATTTTTTCGGATATCGGATATCCGAAATATCCGAAAAGCTTTAAAATGACTATCCGTATCCGAATCTGAAAAACCGGATATTCGAAATTTCAAATACATTTTGAATCGGATTTTCGGATTTCTCAGATCGGGTTTTGGGATACGGATATTTTTGAACACCCCTAGTTACTATCAAACAAGAAAAACATAGAGAAAGGATAAAGAAACACTAGGAAAAAAAATTATAGTTTTCAATTTTTTGTTTTGAAAAACCTAGCATTATAGTTGAGTCATTTCCCAAGGATTCAACGGTCTTATCATATTGATTTTCACACAATACCTTCATAACATATGGTCGATGTTTTCAATGGTGGGATAATGTTTTTAGGTGTGGAAGTTAGGATTTCATCTTTGGACGATAATAGTTTTTGTAATAAGTTACAATTTTGGTCCTTATGGTTTATATTTTTCTACATATTCAGTCTTAGTTTTGAAAAATTGTTATCAATAGTCCTTTTGGTTGCAAAATGTATCTGCTTTGGTCTTTTTCGTTGTTACCGTCAAACTCCATCCATTAATTATAGGTAAAATTACTAATTTGCCCATGAACCAAGTTTATATAAGTTATAAAACTATAAGGAATATATATATATATATATATATATATATATATATATATATATATATATATATATATATATATATATATATATATTGTTGGATTAGTGTCTAAGCCCGTAACTATATTTGGTAAGTACTTGACCCGGTTGTGCATGATCCTTTTTGGTAGCCTTCACCATAGCAACTTGACAGGGTGATTTATGCAGAGAGATAATATATTATTATATTAATATATTATGACAATAATATATTAAAGGAATAACTATATTATTTAATTAATATTAGTCATAGATTAATTAGGAATTAATTTGGTGACTAAAAGAGGTTAATTAAATAAAGGGGGCTGGAACTATCAATTGTGTGATAGTTGGTTTTTGGGCTATGGATCCTTATGGATTATAGGGTGGACGAAATTAAGGTGTATGGACTCCTTAAATTCGTCCAAGCCTTAATCTAGAAGGATCTTTGGATTGCTTAGGGCTTAAGTCATCCAATTAGGGTTTCAAGATGTAACCCTAGGAGCTCAAGTATTTAAAGATCCCAAGGGCTATAGAAATCGGCTACCAGAAACCCTAAGGAGTTCCAAGAGCCGATTTTGTGCCTACATCCTCTCTCTAAGAGCCGATTTTGCTAGTTGGTGTTTGTAAGCCATTAGAGGAGTGACAATTGTGACTCTAAGCTCCAAGAACAAGAAGATTCAAGCAAGCTACAAAAGGTAATCATCTAGATCTGATTTCTTATGTCAAACTTGAATTGTATTCACTAGATCTAAGTTTTGCAAGACTTGGATACATTGCATGTTCAATTAGAGAAACATAGATCCAAGCATTAGGGTTTGCATGTGCACATAGGAAAGTTCTTATGGCTCAAACTTATCAGTGGTATTAGAGCTTTGATTGATTTCTATTGAATTGATGCATTGTTTGATTGTTCTAGATTTGAAAAAATCGTTTTTCTGCCTTCTGACTGACAGACTCGGCGAGTCCTATTGTGGACTCGACGAGTAGGATGAACTCGTCGAGTCCATAAGGGGACTCGGCGAGTCGGAGCGTCTGTCAGAGTGATTTTCGGGATTTCTTGCTGTTTTGCTTGAGGATACTTACCTAAATCGTTTTGGTTCATTAAAATCCGAATTTTATCATCTTTTTGTCAATATCCTCATCAAAACAAAAGATAATTACCAATTGTTTAAATAATAATTTCCTTATTTGATAATAATTGATTATTTGAATTAATTGTTGAATTGTCTTGCAAGTAATATTGACTAGGTCAAATTTAGATAATCATTAAATTAATTGTTTAATTTATATTATTTGCTATTTGATCCTTCATGTTTTGAAAAGTTCAAAACTTGTCCTCAAGTTTTGAAATTTAAGTTTTGTGATTAAAAGTTTTAATTTGAACCATTTAAATTTCAAACCTTAGAATTTTACAAGTTTTAAAATTCAACCTTATACCTATAATATTATAAGATTAATATATATATATATATATATAATATATATATATAACTTAAATGCTAGTCTTACTGTTAGTAGGTCTCATTCACGAAGCCGGTCTATAAGGGGGTATAAGGTTATGGCCTATAAAATGGTCGTTTAATGGGTGTCCATTCTCACCCACCGCTTACTTGATTGGTGGAGGGTCGTTAGCCGAACGGGTAGGATAGGGCAAACCTTTCCTCATTAAAAGTATAATGAATCTATATAAAGTAACTAAATGTTTTTACAAAATTCTCAATCTTAGTTACTTTAGGCAAAAGTGAATTTGATGCAATTCCATGAAATTACACTTTGTACCCTTGCTAAGACGTTAATGGAGCGTGTGTGGTATATTAGCCTTGGGAGACTAGATCTAGAGTTTGGGGTTGTAAATCTGCCTTAAAACGTCTGAATGAGACTAGAGTCTGGAAGGACTCGACGAGTCAGAGAACTGACTCGACGAGTCAGAGAACTGACTCGACGAGTCAGAGAACTGACTCGACCAGTCAGTTAGGGTTTTCCCCGACGAGTCTGGACATGTGTGACTCGGCGAGTTGATGAGACAACTGGACGAGTTAAGGGGGACTTTTGCGACACTTCTGAGGAATCAAAGGGACTCGACGAGTCACATAGGTGCAACATGGAGTGTTGACTCGAGTGTTGACTTCAGTTGACTGTAAGGTTTGGTCAAGACAGGAAGTATGGAGACCATCACTACAAACAAAACGACGTTTAGTGGCACGGAAAAAGTGCCACTAAAGGTCCCTTTGGTAATCAGCGGCACAAAAAAATAGTGTCACTAAAGACTTTTAGTGGCACTTTTTGATTATGTCGCTGTAGCCTTTCGGGTTTTAGTGGCACTTTTTTTATGCCACTATAACAAGTTTGTTTTTTGTGGCATATTTTTTATGCCACTATATAATTGGTAAAATAAAAACGTTTTTTATGTTTTTAGCAGCACTATTTTTTACCACAAAAAATTTATGTTTGAAATTATTTCCAAATTTTTTATAAATGTAAATAGGATATAAAACAATTAAGATAATAAACGAAAAAAATATAAAAACATTACTTAAATTTAACTTGTCTTATAACAATATTCTCAATATTTAAAACAAAACGATCTTTCAAAATGCTTAATAAGTCTAAATATTGTGATAGTGACACCCAAAACATAAAACTATCAAACTAAACACTTTTTGGGAAGAAACATGAAACTTTGTTGAAGATGAACTTTGCAGTTTGCATTCAGTCAATCCTGATTCCAAATTTGCCCTTCTTTCCCCACACTAGCCTAAAGAGTAGAAGAGGGAAGAGAAAACAACATATGTTACTCCAAGTAAAGGCGTCATATCCAACATAAGAATCTTCTCAAAACGTCTATTTAAAGACATTGTAAGTATAAGTACCATCTGCATCCACGTAAAAAAATGATACACAATATCGCAAGTGTGTATAAATTATAATCATATAATGACTATAAGAAATATGTAATGAAATTGGCAGCTTACCATGAAGAAGTTCCAGTTTACGCGACTCATAAGGCTCTTCTGTATATTGTTTTACAAGAAAAAACACTTGTACAACAAAGAATCATGGGCACATTGTATATTGTTTTATTAGTATACTTCTTAAAATTACAATATTTCTGACCTGACGTCTTCCTATCCCAACCAAATGAATCCGATCACCTCTGAAAAGAGATCAATGAACCAAACTATTATATTAAAGACTCTTATATCATCTTTCAAATGATGAGAAAATAAACAAAATAACAAGAGTAAATAAATCCACTATACTAACATCATAAAGTTAGTGGACATGTATTTTCCCCAGGCAAATAACATGATAACTAAGTAGTAAATACATAAAATATTTATCCATAGATAGCTACAGTTCTACTTTATGCATTCAAGAATGCAATCCACATATAATGAATCAGAAAGATAAATTACCTTAAATAAAGGATAATTCTCGAGATACAATGAGCACTTTGATAACTTACATTACTATATAAACAAATGTTTAAATAACATCAAAATTTCCAAAAAACACTAAATAAGATTAGAACTAAATAAACGCTAAATTATACAAACCCGGACAACAACCCTCTCGATTAATATACATATAAAATTTTATAAACACTTCAAATTCAAACACTTTATTAAAGGAAACTATCAAAAAACTGAATAATAGATTTTCCTAAATCAATTAATATACTGGAAGAATTTAGAGTAAAAAGATAATGATGTACCAGTTCAAAAATCCCTTTTTGGTGATTTAACAAACACCTGAGCATAATTTAGTTGAGTTTTTCAGTGAGTCGATAGGTGGTTTTGATAAAGCTCGATATGCCTGGAATTAGTATTATATCCAGTGTACTGGCATATTTAAACTCGTGTTCCAGAATCAGGTTGGGGAGGGAAAAAGAGATGTATCAATGTGTTATTCCGACAATCTATCGATGATTCCACGGTTTGAGAGAGAGCCTAAGAGGCTTGTCAGGTTTGCTTGCCGAAAACAAGAACTCAAATTACATTTTTGAACTTCAAAAAAAATAACAGGATCTAAATGATTAAGCACTGCCCACACAAAAAAGGAGGAAAAACATCGAGAAGTCGAATAAAATCGCACTCAAAATCAGAGCTTTAACAGAAAGATACACAACTGAATTTTTGAGCTTCAATAACAATCGAAATTAGAAAAACTTACGAGTAAATGAATCTAGTTTGGATCTCTGCGGGCTTGTTCTTATTCTTGAACCTTTTCCTTCAGTTTGGCTTCTACTAATAAAAAACAAAAGAGAAATATGAAGGGGATCTGAGAGTTTGGGAATTAGGAATTGGGAGGGATTTTTGTTTATAAGGAATCCGAAAGGGTTGGATGTATTTTCAATCTTAGTTTAAATTATGAGTGGTTTAGAATTCTCAATCAGCTGATACAGTGGCAACGATATGATCGACTTTGGAGAAAACTTGATTTACGTTCTGTTTTTGGGATGGGGGAATTAAGTCAAAATTTTGGAGACTAGAGGGAAATTAAAACCTGAAAATGAAAATAAACTTTGGTTGCAGCGGGAAGTTTAAATTTTGGGAGAATTGGAAGCGGTAAAAGAAAACGCTATGATATAGTGACACAAAAAAATATATGCCACTAAAAATTTGTGCCACTAAATGTAAATTTGTTTGTAGTGCATGGAGAGGTAAAATGGTCTTTTACCCATTCCAAAAGTGAGAGAGAGAGAGAGAGAGAGAATAGCCTTGATTTATTTAGAGTTGTGAATGGAGTCTTAATTAGAGATAATTATCATATGTATTAGGCGGAGGCTAGATCGGCGATTCGTGTACGAGATTTATTTGCTTGATTATGAGGTGAGTCTTCTTACTATACTTACCTTGAGTGGTAATTTGTGTCACCGGAGGGTCTTGTATGCTATTATTGAGTATTGTGATATCCTACATTATGTATTTGTGATTTATGATGTGTATTATTCTGAGCTTTACTGAGTTAGGACCGGAGGGTCCACCCGAGTTGTGGGACCGGAGGGTTCCACTGAGACACATTGACCGGAGGGTCTTATTTAAGATATAGCCATGAGAGGCTAATGAGCTATGTGTGGTTTTTTGGGGAACCCACTAAGCTTCATGCTTTACCGTGTTATGTGATATGTGTTTCAGGTACTTCTTTGGATCGCGGGAAGGCGCCGCCTTGATTGTACACACACGAGATGGAGTTTACATTTTGATGATCCTGGATTATGCTTAAACAATTTATGAACATGTGTTTTTTGATAAATTGTCATTTTGGAGATCTGTGAACTGGGTTTATGAGAATTATGTGATTTTAAAAACGAAAAATTTGTTTGAAAATTTACGATGTTACAGATATTGTTTTATGATAACATGTTTTGATTATTGACACTTTGGGTTTTGACATGGGATGTAATTATGGATATTTTGATTATTGACACTTTGAATTTTGGGATGGTACAATATATATATATATATATATATATATATATATATATATATATATATATATATATAAATCACTACAAAATTTTAAAATAGAAAATTAGCATTTATTTTTTTCATCCCTCCTTTCTCTCTCATCTCTCATCTTTTTCCCCCTCAACCCCAATCATCATTTTCGGACCTCCTTTCAGTTTTTCATGCCGTTGTAATATCCTTATTTTAGATCTAGAATATCTATCTTTATATAACAATTTAGAATTTCAAAATAAATAAACCTTTGAAAAAATAAATAAAATAACTAAAAATAATTAAACTAGAGTAAATAAATTAAGTATTTAGTTTGGTTAAAAATGTAAAACTATAGCTAATTTGGTGAATTAACCATTTGGTTGAATCTACATATATTATTCCAACTTGTGATATTAAATGTTTAATATTACAATAGATAGTTGCAAGGGATTTTATTATCAGTTCACTATTTGTTCCTAATGCAATTGACCGTATTAAGACAACTAGTTGAATGAACATATTGTGTACCCAAAATATGTTACATGATAATAAAACCTCAATTATGTCTAAGTAATTGAACTAAAGTTTAAGGGAAGAAAGTGTGTGAATCCAAATTGTTCATAACTAAACCAAGAGTACTATACTTTTCATTTAGAGTTTCGTTTTAGTATTTCATAATTGATAAAGTTTCTAGTTTATGATATGTTTTAAGTTAGGGTAATGTTATACAATTTCAAGTATTAGTTCTTTCATTTTGACTATTTCTGACATAAGGTTTAACCACAAACTCCTTGTGGATTCGACTCTTACTTACTCTAGTTATCTAGTGTGTATGAGCTATATTTTTGATCGAGCAGTGGCGGAGCCAGGCTCATAGCAAATGGGTATCCCAATTTTTTTTTTCCGGGGTATCACCGCAACGCCCGAGCATGGGGCGGGTTGGGTCAGTTTTGACCTAAAACTGAACCCAAAACCGACAGCCTCAGTTTTGAAACTTTTAAAATCGAACCGAACCCAAACCCATCGGTTCGGTGTTTCGGTTTCCCGTTTGTACTTGGGTTTCCCGTTTTGGTTTAAACTCAAACCTTAATCGAATCCTTAGCTAACTTCAAGTCTTGTTATATAAACATGAAGTTGAAGTATTTTTTGATACTTGAATCAATGTGGGACTCAAAGGTAGATATCAAATGAAGCATGAGGATAACAAGTTTATATAATAGATGAAAATAATCGAGTTTTGATGTGTTTAACGATGTGGGATAGAATAGTTGGGAAAATAAAAGAATAGAATAGCTAGAAAAATAAAAGAAATGTAAACAATGGATTTGTAAGGAGCAAGAATCGATCCTAGGGCCTTTGTTTCAATAAGCCAGCACCTTAACCAGTAGACTAGTTGTTTGTTTGTGCTTATAAGTGAAGGGATGCGTATATATACACTACATAAAACAAATTTTTTTCTAAAAAAATTACACTACAAAATTTTTTTTGAGGGGTATCCCGGGATACCCCTTGGATCCGCCCCTGTGATCGAGTCAACAACATCGATCAGAAGGTGCTTTGATATGTCGACCCATGCACAAGCCAAATTCGTCTATTCTACCGGGGTCCAACGTGTAACTAAGGTCTTCCTTTTTTTAATGGAATCTAGTTGAGAGTTTTAAGAAAACATTTTGAAAAGATTTGTTAGGTGCATTTTATGCACCCATTTTGTAGTTTTATTCCATAAAAGTGCATTGCATTTAGGTTTAAACTCATGCATTTTGCATGTTTTTTAGAATTTTTCATAAATCCATTTCATTCACACACTTTTGTAATATTTTAGGGACTTTTGGAGGTAGGATCTTGCTAGAGGAGGTAAATAAGAGTAGTGGACAAAGTTTCAGGACTTGCGGAGCACCGAGGATGAAGATATCAAAGAATTGAAGATTTTGGCCTTTCAGAAGATTACACGGCCGTGTAAATGGAAGCCTTGAGTTTACACGGGTCGTGTAAACGTAGAATTCTGAGCATCGTACTTTGAAGGCCCGACCAATTTAAGCAGTGTAGTTTTGTAATTACACGGACCGTGTAAACGTGGTCGTGAGTTAAAAAACAGTTTTCCTTCTTTCTTAAAAGGTGCAACCGGTTCCATGGGAAGTTAAGTCGATTTTTGGAGTTCTTGGGGCGATTTTCTGGAAGAATTGGAAGTCAATTAATACTTGGAAACACTTGGATTTCGTTTGGATTTCAATTTTTAAGACTTGAACTTCAATTTCTAGATTTGTGTTTTGTTCTAGTCATGTGTGGCTAGAACCCTAGACTCTCCAACTTGATGTATTGACTATTGTGTGTGATTTGAATCATGTGACTTGGTGTTTGTTTCTAAATGCTATCTAGTGAATTTGATTTTGTTTTAATTGAAATTTTGATTTCAATTCTAGTTCTTATTGGCCATTTGAGTTAGGGTTGAATCATCCAAGTTATCTATTATGCAAAATCCGTAATTGTTTTGTTAAATAGAACAAGTAACAAGCACTAAATTGAATTTCTTAGAATGATTCTAGTGTAAATCAAATTCACACATTCTCACGCTCCCAAGCTTATGAGGAGTATTGAATGTTGTTGGTAAAATTCACACAAAGCATAATGCAATCCCTCCACCTAATTCTAAGAGCTTGTTTAGATTAGATTGGTAAGGTTAGGATTAATCAAAGAGCTTATTTTGATTAATTAACATGGTGAATGGGGATTGCTAGAGCTTGTTATCATTTCCAAGTACCAACTTAGATAAAATTAAACAAATATCATTTCATACTTGGAATCACATTGCTAGTTAGTCTTGCATGAAGTTGGAGTATTGACAAATCTTGAATCTATTTTATTTAATCAATTGCTTACTTATTACTTCAGTTCTTTGTTTGAATCATTGCATATAAACCCCCCTATTTTGTGACCACATTTGTACCTTACGCAAAATGGTATAAGCACTTGTTCTGTGTCTATGTGGATCGACCCTACTTACCTTGTATTACATTTTTAGTGCAAAGTAGTAGTGTATTTGGAGTTATTTGTACCCCTTTATTTGTTGGATTTGACACGCCTAACAATGGAACTGAGAGAGGTAAAATGAGTGTTGAAAGTTTAGGAGTGATAAGAATTGATATTAGTTGGTGGTATTTATTTTGGTAAAAAAAAGTTGCTAAAAATTTGAAATTTAGGTTAAAAATAGTCAAAACGAATTTTAAAGAAATGACACAGAGAGCGAGAGAGAGAGAGAGAGAGAGAGAGAGAGAGAGAGAGAGAGAGAAAGAGAGAGAGAAAGAGAGAGAGAGAGAGAGAGAGAGAGAGAGAGATGTGGCAAAAATCAGTTGAGCGTGAGAATCGAACTCGCCATACCGAGCTGATGGGGGTTGCATCGAACTACATGAGCACATGTAGGCCTTATGCCACTCCATTCAGTCTATGGGTGAGCATCTGGACCTCCGGATCGGTACAGACCTAGACCTAGACGTGGTAACAGGTCCGGTCCAAGGTTCACCGATTTCTACAAAATAGGTTTGGTCCAAGAGTCGGTCCGGTTCGATCCGATCAAAAGGCTCACTTTTACGTCCAAGAACCTGGACATGGACGTGGACGTGGACATGGACATGGTACACCTCAACATGTCCGATCTAAGGTTCACAAATTTCTGCAAAACAGGTATGGTCCAAGAGTCGGTATGGTCTGGTCCGGTCCAGTCCGATCCAAATGCTCACTTTTATGTCCAAGAACCAGGAACCATACCTGGACCTAGACATAGTAAGCCTCAACAGGCCTGGTCAAAGGTCCACCAATTTTGTAAAATCGGTCCGATCCAAGAGTCGGTCCAATCTGATCTGATCCAAAAGTTCACCCCTACTTCTATACCTGCACAAAAAGACCGATCTCGGATCGGACCCAAAAAAAGACAGAGACCGAACCGGTCTAAAACGAGACCGGACCGAAAAAAGACCGGTCCGAGATCGTCTTGGAGCGGTCCGAAAAAGACCGGGCTGTTCCGAGACTGGTCTGGAAAAAAAAAGACCGGTAACCAAACTTTATAAATATATATTTTTTGTGTTAATTATAAAATTTTTAATCACAAACTATCTAATTTATTCCATTTTTTCTTTTATTTAATTTAAATTATCATTTTTAATAAATATTCGTTTATCATTTTAGTGATAATCTCATATTTGTTAATGGAAAAAACTCGAAACCAAAACAGAAGAATCGGAAAATACCGAAACCGAACAAAAAAACCCGTAAATTGAACCGAAAAAGCCGCACAAAAAGTCTGAGAGACGATACCGAAAAAGACCTGGCCGAAAAAAGACCGGTCCAAAAAAAGAGCGCACCGAAAAGACCGGTCCGAAAAAAAGACCGGATCGAAAAATACCGAACGGGACTGGTCCGAAAAAAAACCGAACGAGACCGGTCCGAAAAAAGACCGGACCATTTCGAAACCGACCTCAAAAAGACCGGACCGTTTCAAGACCGATCCAAGACTAATCTGGACCGCCAATGTATAGCTCTACCTACTTCAGTCTAGTGGCTAGTTATTTATGTTTAAGTTGTTGGAACTTGTTACTTATCCGATATCATATTTGTGCATTATCTTGTATATCGTCTTTATTAAATGATAAAAAAATGTCTACTTCAAGTTTTATGTTAAAAATTATACTTTTAAAATACATTTTATAATAATTTCTCGCAAAAGTAAAACATACTTTAAAAAGAAAATACATATTTGATGATTTTATTATTCCAAACATGTGCAGATAGATATACACCTAAGTCATGAATTTGCGTGGACTATTTTAACCTGAAAACAAGACGCGTTGAATCGTTACGTGTCAATGGTTGCCACCACCAACCGCTACTCAACACATTTATCCCTGCATTTTCAGGTTTTCACAGCTCTATCAAAGACACCCATTTTCAGATCACAAAAATGTCAGGCGGAGTAGCACCGATAACACTAACAAATGAGGAGAAACCATCCCTCCGTCGCCGGCAAGGCTTCCTCTCCTTCAACCAACTCAACGCCCTCGCCCTTATCGTCGTCTTCTCCGCCTCCGGCATGGTCGGCGTCCAAGACTTCGCCTTCGTACTCATCTCCTTCTTCTACATGTTCTTCATCGCCAAGGTCGCTTTTCCGACCCTCTCTTCCAACCCGGAACCACCTGTTTTCGCCGAGCACAAACGCCTCCTCACCATCTACGTCTCCGTCGGAGCCTTGATCGGACTGTTTCTCCCGGTGGTCTACATACTTCACGGCGTTTTAGAAGGAGATAAAGAAGGTATCAAAGCAGCTGCACCCCATGTTTTCCTTCTAGCTAGTCAAGTGTTCATGGAAGGCGTGACGTTTTCCGGTGGGTTTTCTCTCCCGATCAGGGTTTTCGTGCCGGTGGTTTATAATTCGATGAGGATGTCTGCGATATTGGATTGGGTGAAGAACGAGATGATGAAAGAAAACACAGTGGATCATGGAAGCAGCAGAAGGTTGTACGCGGGAAGATTGCTTGCCATGGCTAATATGGTGTTTTGGGGGTTTAATCTTTTTGGGTTTTTGTTGCCTTTTTATTTGCCAAGAGCTTTCAAGAAATACTATGGGAGTAGCCATAATAACAAAGATTCATAGATTTTCAAAAACTCAACCTTCAAATCTTAAGATGTAGGGTTCTTGAATGAATTTGTGTTCTTTGGGTTCTAAATATTATGTTAATATTTTTGGAAATTGAGATACGTGGTTTTAGTTTCACATTTTGGAAAGTAAGAGGTGTTTGTTCTAGGACTTTTTGTTGCAACTTTTTTGTGTTTTGTTAACCACCCAAATCCTCTATCATCATCATGAAATATATTACAACTTCATTGATAACTTTATCATTATTCATTGAACTTAGCATATTTTAAATAATATGTTTTGTAACATAAAATCTGATCAAGATAAGATCCTATCAAATATAAATTAGTTTCTAAATTTGTTCTGAAGATCTTTTGTCTAGGGTTATTTTCATAAAAGACCCTATATTTTGATTTTTTTTCTTTTTAGACTTAAAACTTTTTTCTTTTTCGAAAAAGACCTAACTTTTAGCTTTGACTTGTTATTTTAGACCCTAACAAGTAAATTAAGTATTTTTATTTCATAAAAGACCCTATATTTTATATTTTTTTCCAATCTAGACCTAAAATGTTTTTTATTTCAAGACTAATTGTATAAAAACATGATTATATCATTTTAGTTTAAAAATAGACATCGATTTAAACAATGTAATTATTATGCCTACATTTATTTATGATTGGAAAATTCTTTTTCCACGTATATTTATAAAAAAAAGACCCTATATTTTGTTACTTTTTTCCATTTTAGACCTAAAATGTTTTTTTTTTCAAAATAAACTCAACTTTAAAATTGGTTATAATCTTCAAGACCAAATATATAAGGTACTTCTTGACTATACTGAAAAAGAAAGTATACATGTGTACACAAAAAAATGTTATCTGATCTATTATCTTTTGAGCGAATATAACCTAGAAGAATTACAAAATTTTATTTTTTTCTAAAAGATATAATTAAACTTTATCTTGGATATATATATATATATATATATATATATATATATATATATATATATATATATATTATCATTAAACTTGATATATTGTTTATAAAAAATGTTATTATTACCGCTAATAAAAGTTCGATGTTAATTTGATGTTTTTTGGTAACATAGACAATACATGGCTAAGATGAATCTTTTAGCATAATAACAACTTTTTTATTTGTAGAAAAAAAAACATACCATGTAATTTAATAAACTGTATACAAAATAAGATTTTGCAATTTTAAACAAAACTTGAATTTGATATATCTAAACAAAACTATTATGAATGTTTAGGATTAATATTTTTATGTATGTATTTGATATAGTTATACCATATTATTCAATAACGGGCTAATGCTACAAAATATTCTATGGCTTTGGTTTAGGAGTATGATAGTTAGTTCGTTTGTTAACTGTTCCAAAAAATTGATTAAAAAATTCAACCAAAAAAATAATATAGAAAAGTGAGAGAGGGAAAATGTCCAAACTCACGAAATAAGTATAATAGACAAACTAAAAAAAAATATTTTGTATACAGTTTTGTTAAATTACCTGGTATGTTTATTTCCTACAAATAAAAAAAAATATTATTATGCTAAAAGATTCTTCCTAGCCATGTATTATCCATGTTACAAAAAAATATCAAATTAACATCGAACTTTTTATTAGCAGTAATAATAACATTTTTTATAAATAATATATCAAGTTTAATGATATAATATATATCCAAGATATATCTTTTAGACAAAAATAAAATTTTGCAATTCTTCTAGGTTATATTCGTTCAAAAGATAATAGATCAGATAATATTTTTTAGTGTATACATGTGTACTTTCTTTTTCGGCGTAATAAAAAAGTACTATATATTTGGTCTTGAAGATTATAACCAATTTTAAAGTTGAGTTTATTTTGAAAAAAAAACATTTTAGGTCTAAAACGGAAAAAACTACAAAATATAGGGTCTTTTTTTATAAATATACATGGACAAAGAATTTTACAATCATAAATAAATGTAGGCATAATAATTATATTGTTTAAATCGATGTATATTTTTAAACTAAAAGGATATAATCACGTTTTTTATACAACTAGTCTTGAAATAAAAAACATTTTAGGTCTAAACTGGAAAAAAATACAAAATGTTGGGTCTTTTATGAAATAAAAATACTTAATTTACCTATTAGGGTCTAAAGTAACAAGTAAAAGGTAAAAGTTTGGTCTTTTTCGGAAAAGAAAAAACTTTTAGGTCTAAAAAGAAAAAAAATCAAAATGTAGGGTCTTTTATGGAAATAACCCGGTAATGTATTATAATTCAATGTCCCACTATTAATATAATAGTTTTAATAGTTTTAGATTGTCACGTATCATTCTATTATTATATATCCATATTTATTGTTTGTCAGATATTTACTAACATCATCATAGGAATATCATTCTATTATTATGTATCCGATTGTTTGTCACATATTTACTAACATTCTATTATTATGTATCCGATTGTTTGTCACATATTTACTAACATCATCATATGAATTTGAAATTCATGCCAGAATATTAGGAATAGTAATCATATCCAAATTTAAAATTGATTCATATATACCTCTAAACCCAACGATCACGGTTAGGGTGTGTACGGGACGGTTTGGTTCGGTTATTGGTTAAAACCGAATCATAACCATTATAATTGGAGTATCACGGGGGGACTATAACCAATCCGGGTATTTGGAGTTACGAAGGTGTGGCCAGAGCGCATATTGTGTTTTCTGGGTTGTGCTTTTTGGCAGCTATCTGGCATTGGGTGTATTGGGATCTAGAAATATTTTCTGATGAACGTACAAGAAACCTTCTTTGGATTTGCCCAAGATCTTTGGAATACATTTATTTCTTGCAGGTGTGGCTTGCTTTGGTTTTGGTGCATTTCACGTAACAGGTTTGTATGGTCCTGGCATATGGGTGTCCGATCCTTATGGACTAACAGGAAAAGTACAAGCTGTCCATCGTGGGGTGTGGAGGGTTTTGATCCTTTTGTTCCGGGAGGAATAGCATCTCATCATATTGTGGCAGGGACTTTGGGCATATTAGGAGGCCTATTCCATCTTAGTGTCCGCCCGCCCCAACGTCTATACAAAGGATTGCGTATGGGCAATATTGAAACTGTCCTTTCCAGTAGTATCGTTGCTGTCTTTTTTGCAGCTTTTGTTGTTGTCGGAACTATGTGGTATGGTTCAGCGACTACCCCCATCGAATTATTTGGGCCTACTCGTTATCAATGGGATCAAGGGTACTTCCAACAAGAAATATATAGAAGAGTTAGTGTTGGGTTAGCCGAAAATCAAAGTTTATCAGAAGCTTGGTCTAAAATTCCTGAAAAATTAGCCTTTTATGATTACATCGGAAATAATCCGACAATATGGGGATTATTCAGGGCGAGTTCAATGGATAACGGGGATGGAATAGCGGTTGGATGGTTAGGACATCCTATTTTTAGAGATAAAGAAGGGCGTGAACTTTTTGTACGTCGTATGCCTACCTTTTTTGAAACATTTCCGGTCGTTTTGGTAGATGGAGATGGGATTGTTAGAGCCGTTGTTCCTTTTCGAAGGGCAGAATCTAAGTATAGTGTAGAACAAGTAGGTGTAACTGTTGAGTTCTACGGTGGTGAACTCAATGGAGTCAGTTATAGTGATCCTGTTACTGTGAAAAAATATGTTAGACACGCTCAATTGGGGGAAATTTTTGAATTAGACCGTGCTACTTTGAAATCCGATGGTGTTTTTCGTAGCAGTCGGAGGGGTTGGTTTACTTTTGGACATGCTTCATTTGCTTTGCTCTTCTTCTTCGGACACATTTGGCATGGTGCCCGAACCTTGTTTAGAGATGTTTTTGCTGGTATTGACCCAGATTTGGATGCTCAAGTAGAATTTGGAGCATTCCAAAAACTTGGAGATCCAACTACAAGAAGACAAATAGGCTGATATACATTTCTTTGGTGTCTTCGAATCTATTTTATTTTTTTGATATAGGGTACCAATCTTGATTTGCATCGTCATTTTTTTGTTACTCTTGCTCTTTCTTTATTCGGGATATGTTCCCCCAAAAAAGAAACAAAAAATAAACAGGTATGGAAGCTATAATTGTAAACCACGATCGGATCTATGGAAGCATTGGTTTATACATTCCTCTTAGTCTCGACTCAAGGGATAATTTTTTTCGCTATCTTTTTTAGAGAACTTCTAAAAGTTCCAACTAAAAAATAAAAAAAAATGAAATGATTTTTAATCATCACAATTGAAGTAATGAGTTTCCCAAGATTGGGAGGCTCATTACTTCAATTAGTCCCCGTGTTCCTCGAATGGATCTCTTAGTTGTTGAGAAGGTTGCCCAAAAGCGGTATATAAGGCGTACCTAGTAAAACTTACAAGTAAACCAGATATAAAGATAGCGACTAGGGTTGTTGTTTCCATTATTATATAATTTCAAGACCACGATGGATCTATGATAAGATCGTTTATTTAAAATGAGATGATATACAAAGTCAACAGATTTCAATGAATACAATAAGATTTATGGCTACACAAACTGTTGAGAACGGTGCTAGATCTGGTCCAAGACGAACTACTGTAGGGGATTTATTAAAACCATTGAATTCGGAATATGGTAAAGTAGCTCCTGGGTGGGGAACGACCCCTTTGATGGGTGTCGCAATGGCTCTATTTGCGGTATTTCCATCTATTATTTTGGAGATTTATAATTCTTCCGTTTGATTGGATGAAATTTCAATGAATTAGATCTATAAGAACCCACAAGTCCTAACTTTTCAATAAAAAATGAATCATTTAGAGCTCGGATTTCTAGCTCATTCTATTTTGGTAGTTCGACCGTGGAATTTCTTTGTTTCTGTATTTCTGAAATATGAGTGTGTGACTTGTTATAATTGATCCTATTGATATTACAGAGAATGGGTATGTCATCTTGATAGAGATGGTTCTACTTCGTCGGATATTTATTATAGTATCTGGAACACAGAATATACGAAATAGATTAAGAAATATTTGAACTATGATTCATACTTAATATTCAAACCTCGCGGTCGGACTCGAAAAAAATTTCAAAGAATTAGAATTTCTAAATATAAATCGAAATTGTTTCTTCTTTCAAATGTCTATTTATGCTTAGTTTGACTCAAAGACAAATATTTCTTCATATTTTTGGTAATTATCTATTCGTGGAATAAGTGATGATCCGATGGTTCTTACTCAGGGAATCTTTGGGCTTAACTTAGTATTTTTATTGAATCATCGTGGTTATAGTATGAATCTGGGGTTTTAATCGATTCATAGGGTCTTAACAAGAGAATTTCTATCAATAATCAAGAAAACAAATAATAAACATTATATACAAAAACAAATAAAAGAAAGAAAGAAATAGGGAAGAGAGGATTCAAGAGGCCCGTAAGGATCAAGATAAAGACTACTGAGCCAACTTGATATTTTGGTATTATCGCCACAAAGAAGAACTTTCGGATTTTTTATTCGTATCTTCAGAACAGATGGAGTCGGAAAGTAATAAGTTTCAAACTTTCTATTACATATCCGTTCGAACCAATATTTGGGTGTTTTTGCTTGAGCTGTACGAGATGAAAGTCTCATATACAGTTCTCGGAGGGGGGACCGGGCCTATCTCAATAAAGTCTATGATTGGTTTGAAGAACGTCTCGAGATTCAGGCGATTGCAGATGATATAACTAGTAAATATGTTCCTCCTCATGTAAACATATTTTATTGTCTAGGGGGAATTACGCTTACTTGTTTTTTAGTCCAAGTGGCTACAGGATTTGCTATGACCTTTTACTATCGTCCGACCGTTACTGATGCTTTTGCTTCTGTTCAATACATAATGACTAAAGCTAATTTTGGTTGGTTAATCCGATCAGTTCATCGATGGTCGGCAAGTATGATGGTCCTAATGATGATCCTACATGTATTTCGTGTATATCTCACCGGTGGATTTAAAAAACCTCGCAAATTAACTTGGGTTACAGGTGTGGTTCTGGGTGTATTGACTGCATCTTTTGGTGTAACTGGTTATTCCTTACCTCGGGACCAAATTGGTTATTGGGCAGTGAAAATTGTAACAGGTGTACCTGAAGCTATTCCTATAATAGGATCACCTTTGGTAGAATTATTGCGCGGAAGTGCTAGTGTGGGACAATCCATTTTGACTCGTTTTTATAGTTTACACACTTTTGTATTGCCGCTTCTTACTGTCGTATTTATGTTAATGCACTTCCCAATGATACGTAAACAATGTATTTTTGGTCCTTTATAGAGAAGAGATAGCATACATCTTTTGAATTCATCATTTATCACTTGGGGTAGGAACAATAGTATTTTATTGCTACAAGTATGGATTATTGAAAATAATAAGACGTGTATTTGGATATTTCCCTTGAACTCCGCAATATTTTTATTTGACATAAATAGTTGAAGGGAATTTTCCGAAGAGAAAATGGATTATGGGAGTGTGTGACTTGAACTATTGATTGGTCTGTGCAGATATCTGATTATCTGCCACATTTAATTCACAACCAAATGTGTTTTTGTTCCAACCATCATGTAAGCCCATACAGAGGATAGGCTGGTTCGCTTAAAGAGAATCTTTTCTATGATCAGATAGGAATCATGTCATACATGAGCAGGCTCCGTAAGATCTAGTTCACCTAACTTCAGATTGAATTTAATAGTATAAAAATGCATTCATTTCCTTTGCATTGATGCAATCTAGGATACTACCGGAGTGAAAAAAGGGTCTAAAGAAGAACAGAGGCTAGGCTATATTAGTAACAAGTAAATCATTTGTGTGTGTTTATAAAAGGTCTCTTTGGGGATAAACACCAATCATAAGGTCTGAGACGACCTATAAAGCAATTGATCATATCACGATCTATTTTATAAGCCTACTTGGGTATTGAGTATTTATTTATAAGAACTTAATTTTTTTGCACTCGATAGTTTCAACTCGAGAAAAAAGAATCGAGTAAAAATTTTATTTTACTTACATAAAACCATTCATATATCGTATATGTTCATATATCGTATATGCGGGTGTCTAGATAACATATATTTTATATGGATTCATTTGTTTCTTTTGATTCTTGCTCGAGCCGGATGATGAAAAATTATCATGTCCGGTTCCTCCGGAGGATGGATCTATAAGAATTCGCCTATCCCAATAACAAAAAAACCTGACTTGAATGATCCTGTATTAAGAGCGAAATTGGCTAAAGGTATGGGTCATAATTATTACGGGGAGCCCGCATGGCCCAATGATCTTTTATATATTTTTCCGGTAGTAATTCTAGGTATTGTTGCATGTAACGTAGGCTTAGCGGTTCTAGAACCATCAATGATTGGTGAACTGGCAGATCCATTTGCAACTCCTTTGGAAATATTACCCGAATGGTATTTCTTTCCCGTATTTCAAATACTTCGTACAGTACCCAATAAATTATTGGGTATTCTTTTAATGGTTTCTGTGACATCCCCTAATTTCTCGGCCAGAAAAGACCGATTTAATTTATGCTTTTTAAAATAAAATCAGAGTAATCCTTTTAAAATATGTTGCGGAATTTGTTCCCAAAACAAAACATGATAAAAATTTATCAAAACCTTTCTTTAAGAAATATATATTTTCATTTCATATCAAAACCTCGGGATGTCATGTTGCGATACAGATCAAAAGCATAAACAAGACATTATAAGCGTTACAACAATTATTTATAACTACTGGCCTATAATCCAAATATCACTAATCATCATCCGACTATGCTCGGGGTCCACTACATGTAATATAAAAAGCTGAGTGGGTCAGGCTTGGAAGCCTGGTGAGCATATAGGGTTTTAAACCCACAATAAATAAATTTATTATACTTAAACATCAATCAATCAACCAAATTACCCCAACCCCATTATCTTATTTATTTGTTAAGGATTTACCCTAAGATTCAACTATCACTCATTCCTAAGGACTCATCCTAAGGAATAGGCACGAAGTCACATCGTCGCCAGGGTTTATACAACAGGCACTAAGTCCATAGCTGCCAAGGTTTATTCAACATGTGCTAAGTCCATAGCTCTTATGTATCGACATTATTATTCACGGGAATCCCCCCCCCCCCCCGCAATACATGTCAATGGGTTTTTAGAGTAAAACTGATGAACATATAGTTCACACACCCACAGGTTGCGAGCCTGCTAGTGTTCCACATATCATCTAGAATAATCCATGGTTGTCATCCATACTCTGCTGAATGACGGGGGCCAATGTTTGGGTAAGGGCTTTTCTCATATTTCACCACTCACCCTCAACTCATGATCTATATCACTGATCATCTCATTTATCCAACTCACCTTTCATCACACACCCACTATTTCATCTACCCATGTTTTACCCAACATTTTTGTAGATAAAAATACATATACATTTTAAATTATTTAAAAACCTGTATAAATCATTCCTTCAACATCCACCTCAAATAAACAAACAATATATATTCACACAGCACGTATTTTATATAAAATACTTCATATCTATGTGTAAGGTGAAAATAACTACACACTCACATGATTTAATGATAATCGGGCAGCACTTCGTTTCCTAAAACGATCGTTTCTAACAAAACCGAGAGTTTTATTGAGAAACCGGGCTCTGCAAGGGTCGGGCTTCGAAACCGAAAAGATAAATTTCTCGGGCTTCTCGGGCACTTCGGGACGTGTTTCGGGTGCTACAATTGATACCGGGCTTTGGGGGAAGTGGAAATAGTGAAAATATTGAAAATGGGTGAAAAGGGACAATTTTCCAAAATTACCCGGGAAGGCTCGCAAGCCTTCTATTTATAGGGTCGAGGTTCGGACCCGAAGCAACGAGAAGAAGACACGCGTCGCAGCTGCGAGGTTCGGAGGCTGATGGCGGTGCGAGCTCGGACCTAGTAATTACGCATAAAACACATAATATTCACATAATTCATTTTCATTTCTTCAAAATGAGTTGCAAAGGTTAAACTAGACTATCACATCAATATTAATGCCTAGCCTAGAAACACGGGCATTACAGTTTCAGTACCTGCGGGATTATTAACAGTACTTTTTTAGAGAATGTTAATAAATTCCAAAATCGATTTCGTCGTCCAGTAGCGACAACCATATTTTTGATTGGTACCGCATTGGCCCTTTGGTTGGGTATTGGTGCAACATTACCTATTGATAAATCCCTAACTTTAGGTTTTTTTTAATTGATTCAATTGTGAAATAAAATATCACGACGTATGTATCTAGGGAACAGTCGCTTCAAAGTGAATTCTCCCTAGATACATCTATTCAATTAAATTATGAATCTATGCCAATTCCGAATATATGAATTGTCCTAAAGATTCAAAACCTATTTTCGGCCTTTTTCTAAAAAAAAGATGAAAAAAATCCCAATGAATTTAAAACTTATTTTCCGGTAAATCAATTACGAATTTTTTTTCTAGAATGCCTAAAATTTGTTTGACATCTTCTATGCGAAAATGTTCTATTTTCATAAGATCTTCTTGACTGTTATTCAAAAGGTCCAACAATGTATATATATATTGGACCTTTTGAGGCAATTATAGATCCTGGGAGGCAATTCTGATTGGTCAATAAAAATCGATTTCAACGCCATTTTTTTTTATTTTTTGTCAGTTTAGCCAATTTATCATAAAAGGTAAAAGGGGGTAAAGGGACCATGTGTTGATTGCCCTCTAAATTTAAATTTTCTTCTTTGGTATGTAAAAAGGGAATCAATAAATCAATCAAATTCCGAGAGGCTTCATAAAGTGCTTCTTTAGGAGTTAAACTTCCATTTGTCCATATTTCGAGAAAATAGTATCTCTTTGTTACCATTTTCATAAGAATGAATACTATGATTCACATTTCGAACAGGCATGAATACAAGATCTATAGGATAACTTCCATCTTGAAAGGTATTTGGCGCTTTTATAAGATATCCGCGATTCTTCTCTATCTGTAATCCAATAACCAACTCAATGGGTTCCGTCAAGCTAGCTATATGTTGTGTATTATCGAGGATTTCTACATAAGGCGGTAAGATGATATCTTGAGCAGTTACATATCTGGGCCCCTGACACAAATAGACGCCTCATAAGTTCTATAGAGATTACTTCTCAATACGATTTCTTTTAAATTCATTAAAATTTCATGTACTGATTCTTGAATACCCATTATGGTAGAATATTCGTGTGATATTTTCTCAGATTTTGCGCGTGTGATACATGTTCCTTCGATTTCTCCAAGCAAAGCTCTTCGCATAGCAATGCCTATTGTGTCTGCTTGACCTTTCATAAGCGGAGACAGAATAAAGCGCCCATAAAGAAGACGCTTACTGTCTGCTGCTGATTCAACACACTTCCACTGTAGTGTCCGAGTGGATACTGTTATTTTCTCTCGAACCATAATAATATTATTTGATCAGATCATTGAATCATTTATTTCTCTTGTTTCTCTTCCTTTGTTTCTCTTGCTATTGAAATATCTTCAATTTTTATTTCTACACACGTCTTTTTTCCGGGGGGTCTACAGCCATTATGTGGCATAAGGGTTACATCCGGTACGAAAGTTAATAGTATACCACTTCTGCGAATAGCTCGTAATGCTGCGTCTCTTCCGAGACCGGGACTTTTAATCATGACTTCTGCTCATTGCATACCTTGATCTACTACTGCACGAATAGCATGTCCTGCTGCGGTTTGAGCAGCAAATGGCGTCCCTCTTCTTGTACCTCGGAAGCCAGAAGTACCGGCAGAGGACCAAGAAACCACTCGCCCCCGTACATCTGTAACAGTCACAATGGTATTATTGAAACTTCCTTGAATATGAATAACACCCTTTGGTATTTTACGTGTACTCTTACGTGAACCAATACGTCCACGTGAACCTTTTTTCGGTATAGCTTTTGACATATTTTATCATCACATAAATTTGAGTAAGAGATATATGGATATATCCATTTCATGTCAAAACAGATCCCCTTCTTATTTTTATATCGGGTCTTTAACAAGGCTGATTATCCTTGTCTTTGTTTATGTCTTGGGTTGGAACAAATTACTCTAATTCGTTGCCGACGACGGATTAGTCGACATTTTTCACAAATTTTACGAACAAAAGCTCTTATTTTCATATTTCCCACTCCTTACTTTAATTTTGAATCCACTTTTTGGAAGAAACTAAGTTTCTTTAAATTTTCTATTTTGAATCGTATTCCTACGAAATAAATAGTGAAGTTGAAAAAACAACTAATCTTTCGAATCTTTATTTCGGAGTCGATAAATTATACGACCTCTGGTTGAATCATAACGACTTACTTTAATTTTGACTCTATCTCCTGGCAGTATCCGTATAAAACTACGTCGGATGTTTCCTGAAAACATAACCTAGAATCATATCTTCATTATCTAAACGAACCCGGAACATGCCGTTGGTTTTTATGGGTCAATAACAGCAAAAACATCTCTAAACAAGGTTCGGGCACCATGCCAAATGTGTCCGAAGAAGAAGAGCAAAGAAAATGAAGCATGTCCAAAAGTAAACCAACCCCTCGGACAACTACGAAAAACACCATCGGATAACTATAAAAAAACGTTCTCATACGTCTGTAAAAAAATAGAAACTAACACTAGGAATGTTTGACGAACAGTATCAAGAATCATTATTATTTCGACAAAAGAGAAAAGGATTTTTCACACCCCTTTATTGTGTCGAAGACTAGGAAGACGAATAACCCCTCCCAGAAATATTTGTTCCTTTCAATTATCCGTTCTATTTTGCGTTTACTTTTGTATAGGATCTAGCCGAAGTCCATTATATTAGACTCAAATGCATTTTATGACATTTTAATGTGCCAATAGCAACATAATAACATCACCCCAAATTTTTATAAAAAAAACAAAAACAAAGAAAGAAGGGGTTAAGTCAAATAGTCTTCTTCACAATCTACAAACGATGGCTAGGAATGTGGTACAAGGAATTCCCGGCATCTCGTAGAAAAAAAGTATAAACAAACAAAAGGCTTTTTAGAATTTTATTTTTTTATCATAGATAATCATAATTACTAAAAAAAATTTGGTTCTTTTTACAAACTTGAGGTCGATAAATCCGCGAATCTAGAAATTCATTTCGGACAATTGAACCTTCTCGAACTGTTTCTTTTTAAGAACCAAAAATATTTGTGACAAAATAATAGATGCTAAGAAGAACAAAAGGCCTTGTACACGTAATGGATCTTGAAGTACTATTTATGCATCTCCCTGACCAAATCCGCCCACATTAGGATTACTTGTCAACGGTTGCTCAAATTTGATAGATTCGCCTTCTGAAACAAGAAGTTCTGGCCCCGGAGGGATAATATCAACCACTTGACGTCCATCTGATGCATCCGCTATGGTTATTTCGTATCCCCCCTTTTCTTTTCGTAGGATTTTGCTTACTATACTGGATGCTGTAGCATTATAAACTGTATTGTTACTCTTGCTCCCGTCAGGATAAATCTGGCCCCTTCCCCTGTTTCCGCCTACGTATATAGAATATTTTAAGAAGTGAATGTCTTTCTTAGTAACGGGGTCCGGGGAAAGAATAGGAAACGTGATTTCACTATATTTCTGACCAGGAACAGGGCCTATGACAAGAATATTTTTTTGATTTGGGCGATAGCTCTGAAAAGACAGATTGCCCATCTTTTCTTTTATCTCGGGGGAAATACGATCGGATGGGGCTAATTCAAAACCCTCTGGTAAAATAAGAACAACCCCCACATTTAAATCCCCTTTTTTACCATTAGCAAGAACTTGTTTCAGTTGCATATCATAAGGAATTCGAACAACTGCTTCAAATACAGTATCGGGAAGTACCGTTTGCGGAACCTCAATATCCACTGGTTTATTAGCTAAATGGCAATTGGCGCATACAATACGTCCAGGCGCTTCTCGTGGATTTTCATAGCCCTTCTGTGCAAAAATGGGATATGCATTTGAAATGGATGCACGAGTTATGATATATATCATGAGCGATACGGAAATAGATCTAGTAATCTGTTCCTTTATCCAAGAAAAAATATTTCTAGTTTGCATGGTCCAACCATTGATCCCGAAAATTTATACAATAAATTGGGGTAGGTCACTAATGGAGTTTCCTATCCACGATTTTGTTATTTACTGGAATAATTTGACTGGATTAATATATAGGATGAATCTCCGGGATGGGTAGAAAGATAAAGAGTGAGTACGATTTTCAATGCTTTGCTTATGTACAACTGCAAAGTAAGAAACATTCTAATTGGATTAGGTAGATAATTTTTCAGTCATTTATTGAATGATAAATCACTACAAGTGACGGAGATACGCGATTTAAATAACGGAAAATCCAATATATGAAAATTGTATCTAGAATGACTGGAAAAGTGGAAACAAGGCCAGATATAATTTGCTCATTATGAACAAATCCAAAATCCTTGTAGACAAAGCCAATCATCAGTTCCCAACCATGGGGCGAATGAAATCCGATACATAAATCAGTTAATAAAAGAAGAGAAAAAGCTTTTATTGTGTCACTTAAGTTATATAGGAATTCCTGAACCCAAGAGTTAAGAATAACAAGTTCTTTATTACCCAAAAGAGAATAACCACTTAGAATAATGAAACAGATTATATTTGTCGAGAAGTGCAAAATCGTATGAATACGACCCTCGTTGTGTATCTTGATTAATTGGATTGTTTCTTTGTGAATTCCTATACGAAGGTTTTGTAGATGTGTCTCCGAGTATTCCTTAATCATTTCCTCTAAGAAGAGGAGTTCCTCTAATTCTATGAATTTTTCTAGAATACTCTTTTCTTCAATATCATTCAAAAAAGGTTCGGATTGCCTAGTATTCCACCAATTAGTAACCCAGGATTCCATACTTTTTTTGAAATGAGAGAGAAATCCACCAGGGCAAAAATACTATAGATGCAATATATAAAAGAGGAGTGAATGCTTTCTTTTTTTCCATTTTTTCATCTATGAATTGTTAATGAACCTATCTCATTCGTCGACTCTATGTAATCTAATATTTCTGTCATGCATCAGTTCAATTACAAGTTATCGAACCTATGAGTTTAGAAAAAAATACAGAAATAGACGAAAAATTGGAATGGATAAATAATCAAAAAATAATGTTTACCTATATCTCAATTGGTCAAATTCGAAGCACATATCTCCTTTCGATGATAACCATTATGTGGCGGTTAATATTGGTTTTGGTTGATGGTTTTACTTGGTTAATGGTTATGGTGTATGGTTTATATCGGTTAACCAAAATGGTCAAAGATGGTATAAAAACAAAAATATTTCTATAAAAATTTAAAAACACAATCTATCGTTATAAAAAGTGAAAGATTATGTGACATCCCCTAATTTCTCGGCCAAAAAAGACCGATTTAATTTATGCTTTTAAAATAAAGTCAGGGAAATCCTTTTAAAAGATGTTGCGGAATTGGTCCCCAAAACAAAACATGATAAACATTTATCAAAACCTTTCTTTAAGAAAGTATATATTTTCCTTTTATATCAAAACCTCGGGATGTCATGTTCCGATACAGATCAAAAGCATAAACAAGACATTATAAGCCTTACAACAGTTATTTACAACTACTGGCCTATAATCCAAAAAATCTCTCATCATCATCCGACTATGTTCGGGGTCCACTACCTGTAAGATAAAAAGCGGAGTGGGTCAGGCTTGGGAGCCTGGTGAGCATATAGGGTTTTCAACCCACAATAAATAAATTTATTAGTTTCATCGAACAACAATAACCCGATTACCCATTCCCGTTATTCTCACCTTACGTCCCTAAAACATCTATCACAAGGGACCTAGTCTAAGGATTTTCATCGGGGCGACAATACTGCTTTGGGGGTTTCCCAACAATTTATGTCAAATAAGGCAACCATGTGGGGGATGGAGTACAGCAAATGAACACCTAATCTCATTAACACCTACAGGTTGCGAGCCTGCCAGCGTTCCACTGGACTGTCTAGAAAAGTTTGTGGTCGTCATCCATACTCCGCTAGATGACTGGATCACAATAACATCGAGGCCTCTCATCATTTTAACACACATCGACTATTTTGTCTACCCATGTTTTACCCAACATATTTGTAGATAAAATAAATATACAGTTTAAAACTTGTATAAAACATATATTCAACAGTCACCTCAATTAAACAATTAATATAATTACACATAGCACGTATTTTATAGAAAATACTTCATATCTAGGTGTAAGATAAAGGTGACTACACTCACTTGATTTAATGATAATCGAGCAGCACTTCGTTTCCTAAAACGATCGTTTCTAATAAAACCGGGAGTTTTATTGAGAAACCGGGCTCTGCGAGGGTTGGACTTCAAAACCGAAAAGATAAATTTCTCGGGATTCTCGGGCACTTCGGGACGTGTTTCGGGTGTTTGATATAATACCGGGGCTTTGGGGGAAGTTGGAATGAAAGAAATATGGGTTTAGGGGTGTAAAATGTCAAATTTCCAAATTATCCCCGGGAGGTCTCGCACCCTTCTATTTATAGGGGCGAGGCTTCTGATCGGACGGCTGAGAGGACTCCACGCGGCAGCAGATCCGAAGAGAAGGCACATGGCTCGCACGTGCGAGGGTCAGCTGTTGGCCTCTGATTGGACCGAGGTCTAGGTCTGAGGGTTCGGTCGTGGCGCTACGTGTGAAGCTCGGACACGTCAAGAAAGGGCACGCGTCGGACTCCTACTGGACCGCGCTTTGGATACGAGGGCAGGCGACACGCCTCGCCAGCTGGCTTCGGTGACTCAGCAATTTAGGACACGTGGCGCGCATGCAACGAAGGTGACGTGGCCGAAGTCCCACCATGTGAAATTTTTGGATTTGGCATTTTTTCTCGATTTTTGTGCAAATACTTCTAAAATCCATAACTTTCGCATACGGGCTCCGTTTTTGACGTTCTTTATATGCACGCGTAGGTAAAATTACGCTCTACAACTTTTGTTTAGACTTCGTTGGCTAATTTTGAATTTAATTTTTATATTATTATTTTTAACAGACCGGGACAGGAAATTCGTTAAAAATTCATAACTTCTTCATCCGACATCCGTTTTCGTCTGTCTTTTTACCGTTGTACTACTATTGACGAGACCTTCGATTCTCGTTTAGTTTGTGTCGGCTAAAAATCACTCGATCTAAAATTCGAGTTTTTAGCTGTCTACTGCTAAGCTGAAACTTAGAAAAATCATAACTTCCTCATACGAAGTCAGATTTGGGCGTTCTTTTTATACATACTCTCGGTTTAACAAACACTACGACTTTCGTTTAGATCACTAAGGCTAAAAAGTAGTTTATCAAAAACTCACTTTTTACGTCATTCGGCACCGTGCCGGTTTTGTCGCGAAACTTCGACAGGTCATAACTTCTTCGTTATAACTCGGATTTTGGTATTCTTTATATATCCGTAATCCTTGTCACGACCACTACAACTTTCTTAATAGATATCGGCTTTATCTAATATTTATTTTCGAAGCTCATTTGTATTCTTAATTAATTAAATCCTAATAATTAAGCATAAAACACATAATATTCACATAATTCCTTTTCATTTCTTCAAAATGAGTTACAAAGGTTAACCTAGACTATCACATCAATATTAATGCCTAGCCTAGAAACACGGGCATTACAATTCTCTCCCCCTTAGGATGATTTTGTCCCCGGAATCACATATCAACAAACAATTGCGGGTAGCGACTCATCATGTCACTCTCCGTTTCCCAGGTGAGATTTGGCCCATTCGTATGTTTCCAGCGCACAAGCACTAAATCGACCATCTTGCGTCGCAACTTCTTAGTCTTACGGTCAACGATTGCCTCAGGTTCTTCAATCAACCTCTTGTTTTTATCCAACCTTAATTCAGAAATGGGAATTATGTCGGGCACATCTTTCGTGGACTTTCTCAAATAACACACATGAAAGGTGTTATGAATGCCCTCCAGTTCTTCCGGTAATTCTAGCTTGTAAGCTTGATTCCCGATCCTCTGAAGAACTTTAAATGGTCCAATAACCTTGGACTCAATTTTCCCCTTTTACCAAATCTTATAAGTCCCTTCCACGGCGAGACTTTAAGTAAAACCGAATCTCCAACTTCGAAGTATATCGGTTGTCTTTTCTTGTCAGCATAACTCTTTTGTCGATCTTGAGCTGCCAACATCCTTTCCTTAATCACTTTCAACTTTTCAGCAGTCTGATGGGCTATTTCAGGTCCCATAAACTGCTTTTCCCCAGCTTCCAGCCAACATGACGGCGTTCGACACTTTTCTCCATACAAAGCGTGATAAGGTGTCATCTTGATGCTTGAGTGGAAACTATTATTATAGGAAAATTCTACTAGAGTGTGACAACCGTCAATTTTTGGCCAAGTCAAAGTCAACTAAAGTCAACAAGTCAAATCGGTCAACTCATCTAACCCTTGTATATTAGGGTTTCCATTATGATTCTTATTGTACTACTCGCAATCTTAATATAAAGTATCACTTAGAGTTTTCACGTGTTCGGAAATTCTAAACCCTAATCAGGGTAAATGATGAATCTACTCGATAAAACATTATTCCATACCCTCGAGAGCGTATAACATTCATAACAAGGCTTAACTGAGTGTAAGAACCTTGCGTTGCGAAGCCAAACACTCAAAAAGGTCACAAAAGAAGTCTCTCCCAATCTCTTTCACTCTAACTCTCTCAAAACACTCTAAGTAAGAGAAATCTCTCCAAGAATGTAAAATCTCTCCCAAATCTCTCTCTGTATGAGAAATCTCTCCAAGAATGTCAAATCTCTCCCAAATCTCTCCAAGTATGTGAAATCTCTCCCAAATATCTCTCTGAATGAGAAATCTCTCCAAGTATGTGAAATCTCTCCCAAATCTCTCCAAGTATGTCAAATCTCTCCAAGTATGTGAAATCTCTCCCAAATCTCTCCAAGTATGTCAAATCTCTCCAAGT